CCTGACTGTGCTTGCAGTAATTAGAAACCCTTTTATGCAACAGTGTTACTGTGAACTTTCTATTATAATGCTCTCCATTATTAAAGGAGGGCATGAAGGGCTTAAAGCTTCAGATGCCAGTTACCTGGTGGGTTTAGCACGAGGCTACTGATGAATGGTTTAAAAGCAGCAAGACTCTGAACCACAAAATTTCATCTAGCCCCTTCTCTTTCAAAGGCATTGATCAAACCAGTGTAAAGTTCAGCCTGACAACCACTGGCGTAGACTTCATACTGTGTCTGGGCTACTCTCAGCCAGGTACACAGTTGATACAGCAGTGACTGCTCAGCTAGCTTCTGTATAGCAGCGTCTAAGCCACGTGTAATCTGTGAAGTCTTGAAGTTCTGTAACTCCAGACAGGACAGTGGGTTTTTAACTTGTACACTCTCCCTCAGTTCCCCACAGTCCAGACCTCCAGGTCTTGGACAATAAAGTCTTCCTGTGTAGACAGAGGTGCATTGTTGAAGGTGGGACAGGGAAAGCTTGCACCATGGTACAGATCGGAATCCAGCCAGAGTGCAAAGACACCTCTGCAGATTAAGAAAAACAACAGCAATTTAACATCAGACCTTTTAAAAGTTGTTGCTCATAGCTTGTATTATAACCTCAGACATCTCACAAGTAAGATTTCAAGTAATTATGTTGTATAGCTTTATTACTTTATGACACTGAAACAGGTAACCACTGTGTTTTCCTTTGATGAGCATTTCAGTTTTTTATGTGTGAAATTAACAGCCACATAACTCACCCTCCTCCACCAATTTGCAGTGATTCCAAGTTGCCATTCACAAAGTATGTGTTCTGACCGCTCCACCTGTATGCCTAAAAAAAATGCCAAAATAAAAGATTTAAGAAACTAATACTCAAGCCAAGTAGCCACATTTCAAAATATGTGAAACCTTACATACTGTAACAAACACTTCTTTTTTTAAATCATTCGCTAGATTCTTAAACTAAAGAATTTCTCTTTAATCGTTCTGAAATTTACTGTAAATGAGATAGCATGTCTTATCTTGAACTATGACACACCTATTGTCAGGCCAGATATGGTTCTGTATAAGAAATATGCTATAAGAAACAAAACAAACAAGGATCGATTCCGCTCTTACCTGAAAGTCAGGGCTGAAGCTGAACAGGAAGGTTTCCCCTGTACCATAGCAGTATTTACTGACCCTGAATGAATCGGAAGAAAAAGCCCCAAACACCTGAAAAGACAACAGGTCATTACAGATGTGCACAGATGCTCAGATATACTTATCAATGTATTTTTTGCACTGAAAAGCCTTGTAGAGTAAAGACAAAGATGCCAACCTTTTTGTGCTTGTCTTTGATGACCAGCAGCACAGGACTGTCCAGATCAGCCATATTCCTGTATAGTGTCTTCAGGCTACTCCCATGGACACCGGTGCTGTAGATCAGTTGCCATGAATAACCCTGGGTCCTTGCTGGCATGTGAGTAGCAAGCTGTTGGAAAAGTTGTTGTTAATCAACAGATGTCATAGTGGGAGATATAATATATTACTATAACAATTCATCAAGGCAAAACTTTTGTTGATGGCTTGTTGTTCATGCAAACTCTTCCACTTTGATTTAATATAACTTACTTGCTGCAGGTGGTGCTCTTCCAGCAGCTGGCTGTGGTCACTCAGTACAAGGACATCATTGTCACCTTCCTCCTGGTACTCAGGCTCCTCTGCCTCAGAGTCCTCTGAGTTGCACAGACTCGGGCAGTATCTGAAGTCCTTCACCGTGATAATCTGGAAGAGGCACACCAATCAACAAAACAGTCAGAAAACACTCGAACACTTTCCTTTCATACATTAAAAAAAAATCCCCTACATTACATACAGAATGTTGTGGTACAGTGACTCATATTCAGAAAGTGCACAGGTAAAATCTAAAGGGTAAACATGTTATTGAACTACTAAGTCACAGGATGCAAGTTTAACACAATATAAGAACAAGTTAATTCATAATTGGATTGCTGACAATGAGCTAGCTAGGAAGCATAGATGATGGATAATGACAAAATAACCATTTTTACCCACAAAGTAAAGCATCTTTCACCCCATAAATATAGTACACCTCCTAGCATGACTAAGGCATAGTGGCCCTACCTTCACATATGGCTCCACACAATCACTGGCAAAATAAAGCACTTTGATATTTTCTGGCAGCAGCTTCATAGCTCCTGATTTTTCTGTCTGTTGCCCTCTACACACATTTGCTACTAATAGTAGCCAGCATCTATCTTTTTGTACCCTCTGAGCTGCTTTCATTTTCCATGAGTGAAATGTCATTGGTTGGAAACATGGCTGGGGAGGCGTGTCATTGGTGAGCTCTGATGAGGAACGGTTTCGTTTTTCACTAAGCAGGAAACTGCAGCAAACTCTGGGATGAGGGTGCCAGCTAGAGGAAGGATGTCCATATATAGAGACCCTGAAACTCCAAACTTCCCACAACCTCTGGGTTAACTGCCAGGCATTTTAGCTTCCCATTTACAGTAAACGGGATAATTGATAACTTTTATTTACAACTGTAGAAACTGTAGTGTATTTGATGTAAATGTTAACCAGCAGTTTAAGAGCCACAGATGACTTTCTTTTTACATCTTTAAACTTATGTTTGTGTTAGTGCAGTCCTTACAGCAGTGGGGCTGACAGGGTTGTTAAGGAACTTTTTCACCACAGCTGCTTTGTTCTTTTTCAGAAGCAGATATTGCTTTTGTTGTTTCTCTGTAATAAGGTAGCGAGGCTGGCAGCGCTTTTTGTTGCTTTTAGCATAAATATCTGGTGACCACTGCACAAAGAAGGTGAAGAGATGGTCAACCCTGTAGAGACAAAAGGACAAAGCCAAAAAGTTTTAATATGAAAGAGCTTCCACTATCAAACACCACTACAGGGTTACAGGAATACAAATATAAAGTTTTGATCTTTGAACATGTAGTGCTACAACAATAGCAGGCATTAATGAGAGTTGGCCCAACCTATAATGAACTTCTCAGATAAACAAGTGGCTTTCAGTAAAACTAGCTGTTTACACATGCCTGGACATGACAAATGGGAGAGGACTAATTCTTTGGATGTTTTAGGCAGGAGGATATCTGAGAGCAAAAATGAGAATGTGGACCCACTATCTGGAGTTATTTTAGTTGAATCTTAAAGCTATCTAATGTTTTCCAAAAGAAATGCACTTAGAATCAGTACTGAAATTGCATTTACAATTAAAGAAAGCAGTTGTATAGCAATAACTGAATTTAGGCATATTTTTCTCCGTTCACTCTCTTCCTATCACACATACGTCAGCGGTCATAAACTATATCAATCTGTACATCAGCAACCACTTGCCACTGAATGACAAAAATAACTTGCTTTCTTTGCACCTACGTAATAATAGCCTACACTCAACGTCAAGGACACTAAGCACTACCACATAACTTTGAAAAAGATATATTTCCCATGAATTTGATCTGGTTGACCTTATATAAATTTAGAAGAATGAAGTCAAAATCTCATAATGAAACTCTGTTTGTAATCCTAAACTCACATCTTTGTGCTGATAAATTAGCTGAAATAAGCAAACTGAGGTACTGTCTGCTTCAAACCAACATATACAGGACCCAGCGGTCTCAATGCGTTTTACTTACTCTCCTATGCTGTAGGCAACTCCCATGGCTGATTCCAAGTGTATGGTGCTGAAGGTATAGCCTTATCCTATAAAAATGAGAGCATATGGTTTGAAGGCGCTTTAATTAAGCAGCAACTCCACTGAGTTTCTAACCTCGCAAGCATTTTATACCTGCGGATCGATCACTGTGATAAGCCCCTTTGACCGTAAGTCCCCCCGTTCTCCCAGATCCTCATGGCCTGCACGTATTCACACAAGAATTTCACAACTGGAAGCCAATGTTGGTGACACATTAACTTGACCTGCAATGGGTCAGTGTCCTTAGGTTTGGCTGGTAATTCAGACAGTTCAAATTAGTAGCTTGGTAAATGAATGACAAACACATCTAGTAGCCTCGGACGCCACAGCACCCACACCTCCTGGAGACGAGCTGAAGTTGTAACTGTGAACTGGCCTTAAAAGTGTAATACAGTAGGCCACATAAAAGTATGTTATAGCTAAAATTATTTCCACCTCAACTAGATACATTAGAATTTTTAGCCTAGACGTAAAAACAAATAGCCTATAGTGTTTTGAATAATAACACCACTACTTTTAATACTTAAAGTGCATGTTGATGCCTATTTTTCCTTAGAAAGTAATTATTAAAAATTTTGGGCTTAATCGCTTATTCCCAAATGAGAAGACTGATACTACTCTGGTGTATGTATCTTGTTAGCCTGGCATAAAGACTGGAAACAGAGAACAGCTCATCTTGTTCAGTTCAATGTCGGCCTGGATTGCACTGGATTTTATATGATTATTATTTGTTTATTTGTTTTTATTGTGGCCTAATCTACAACAAAATGTTAGCTGTAAGATACAGTAAATATAAAAAGAGTAAGCTCTTATTTCCCCTGAAATGTCATGGAATCACAGAAATTACAGACAGCCGAGGCCTACTCAGGTACTATTAGAATTCACTTAGATGTAAATAATTGACTTTCAGCATTGATAGAAGGGGAAGACAGAGGTATAAACACAGACAGACAATCAACCCGATAGGCACACAGGCCTTTATCTTTCATGCTACTGTCTTTCTGTCAAGCCACAGACAAGTTCTAGGAGTCTCCCCCATACTGATAATGGAGAGAGGCAGATAGTGTGCAAAAAAAAAAAAAATTAAAGAAACAGTGAGAAAGAGCATTTAATGTATTGTAATGCAATAGTTCATAAAGGCCTAATTTGTTAGGCTGGCTCGAACACGGAAGTGAGCAAGTCACAAAAATTGACGGACCCAGGTGGCTGACTTCGATTCAAGCAGTGCAAGTTTATTTACAGTGTAAAACAAGTGACCAAGAAATGAACAGTCAAGTAACACTGGGACCGGGTGTCGAGCTTCGGATGGGAACACAGTCAGTGGTGGAGATGATGAGAAGAGGACCGGGCTGCGGACACTGGGACTCACTCCTGGACTGGTCGAGTTGGATGGTACTGAAGATGAACAGACATTGTACATACGGTAAGTAGTAGACTGTGCATCGACCTGCAGGGTGGTGATGAAGCAGAGTGGAGGAGGTCCGTGGTCCGAAGGAGCGACTGTGGCGAGGAGGGAATGAATAAAAAGCAGCTGGAGAGAAGGAGACAAAAAAAAACTAACACAGATCAGAAGGAACAACGGGGAACAAACGGGCCTGAGAAATGCTAGAAAGAACTGGCAGGGGAGTGAACGAAGAGCAGGGACTAAATAGGGAGAAACTAATCAAGTGCAGCTGGTGGTAATCTGGGGGTAAGAAGCAGGTGTAAGGGATAACGTAATCGGGGTAAGGGAGTGAAAACAGAGTGAGGGGAGTGAGAAAGTAGGTGCAGCTGGGCAAACCTGACATAATTTGAAAGTCAGATTAGATTTTTATCAGTCTTAGATATTTATAACAGTCTCCACTCTGGATATGGCTTGAGCCTAATTATCAAGATTTAATCAAAGCAGCAAGCCTTGATTGCAGTGTTGATACTGTAGTCAGTATTCAGTACCAACCATTCAAACCTGGTCAGTTTCCCATGTAATTATCTCTCTACACTAATGCTCACATAGTTACCTGTTTCTTCTATCTGTGGTCATTAGGCTTACTGGGTAAACACAAACACTTTTCAGTGGTTCTAGATCATGAATCTGCTGAGCTGTTGAAGCAGTTAGCCTATTAATCCTATTTAATTAAAGAGTTACAGCTACAGTGATAGGCCTACATTCAGCTAAATTACAAAGTGATTGCTTCTGATACTGACTCCAGTACTCATACACAGTTTTGGTCACGTACTGCTATCTGATCAATAGATTGCAGTAGGGACATTCTGGGATTAACAAGTGGCCATTGTGTATTTACACAAGAAAAATAGGATAGAGGAGCTCAATTTGAGATAGTGTCCAAACAAACACATGGACAAGGCTGATAGGTAGACAAACATACATACACATGTGAGCAACCAGATTGCTTATGCTCCATGCACACATTATAATATGATTCACATCAGGATAAATCATAATGGGGATAAAAATAATACTGTCCGTCTACATACTGTAAGTGAGTACTTACTTGGAACTGACATAAAAATGCCATGAGGTCATTCAGGCATTCTGATATAGTTAGCCTATCTACAAATCCAGATGTTTCCTCCTGGAACTACAGCTGTTAAAGCTGTCCTACTATGCTCCGTTGAAACTCTGAAGGCGTGATTTTGAGAGCGAGTGACCCTCCAAAACTAATAACATAGTTTCGATTATATAACATTATAAAAACCTTTCCTCTATTTACAGGGAATTATTTACTTTGTGCATGCTTCCAAAGAAACATGGGAAAACTTCCCAGCACATTCCCTCTGGGTTCATACAAACACATTTGTACTTCTGTCTTTGTGAGGACACTCACTGATATAATACATTTCCTAGCCCCTTACCCTAACACTTAACCATCAGAACTAAATGCCTAACCCTAACCTAAACCTAATTCTAACCTGAACCCTAAAATCAAGTCTTAACCCTCAAAAGGCCGTTTCAGAAAGTGAGGACCAGACAAAATGTTTTCATTTTCCAAAAATGTTTTAGTGAGTTGCAATACCTTGTGGCTTCTCATGTGTTTTCCCAGGGCCATCTTATTTGCCAAACATTTGACAAATATCAAGGGTATTTACAAAAAATTCATTAAGATTTTGTGACTTGAAGTTTTTTGACCTCACAATCACACCTATTTCACTTTATGTAAAACCAAGGGTGGTATTTTTCTCAGTATCCCAAAGTAAATTTGCCTAAAGGGCTAGTGAGAAGGGTATATGGGCAACAATGAATTCAGATCAGGCAGATGCTTTTGAAGGGCTAAAAGGGACAGTTGAGATGAAGCTAGAGAAAATGGGAGATGTAATTTATGAATATGAAGTGCAAAGGTTTGGAGTTTGTGAGAGCAAAACAGCAGTAGAGAGAGTAAAGTCAAGGCGGCAGCAGGAGATTGATATGCTTGTTTGAAAATGAAGGCCGCTGAGGAAGCAGTGGAGAAAAGTGACAGATAGTGAGAAAGAGGGTATAAATGTGTTGCAAAATGACCTGAAATCTTAGGTTGGCAACACCAAGAGAGGTGGAAAT